TCCCTCTCTGCTTACCCTCGAAATAGAGGATTTGGATTCCTGATACATGAAGGGAGGGAAAAAGGACTGGTCATGTTCTGAAATTAAAGATAAATTCTAAGAATTCTGTAATCACTGCAAAAATATTTTCTCTCTTAACATTTTGTTTTTCTACGTGTGACTCTTTCAGTTGTCGGTTCCATAAATATTTATGAAGTGAGTGAGTAAGCCCACTATGTGTCAAGCAAAACTAAATAGTTATCCTATTTCCAGGCATGGCTGTCCTTCGAGTGGAAGTAAGACATTCAATATGAAAAGGGACTTTTGAATATCTTTGTGGCTACGATATTTTATATCCTCATCTCCACTAGCAGGCCTTGTTGCCTAAAATTCCTTTGATGTGTGACATTGTCTCATGTTAAAATCCACTTTTTCCTTTCTCCCTCCCAGGGGAGAGGTCACTGGGAGACTGCCTTTACGCCTTGGGGTGCTTTCCTTATTCCATGGCTTGCCGAAGGCTCATTTCACCAAGAGTGGGTTCCTGGGAGTGGATACAAATTCATTTTCTACGGAATGAAGGACACAAATTTCATTCTGGCTGAACGAAGGGCTAGGTCCAGAGCTCCGAGAGCACTGGTGGGCGCCAGAGAGGCCCAAGGCTGTGGGAGCTGGAGGAGAGTAGAGGGAAAGGGAGCAAACTGGAATCTCGGGCCCCTGAATTTTATCCGGGGCTGGTTTTGTTCACAAGAACTTTGCACGAGCTGATGTAGAGGGAAGTAACTGGGATACTTCTTTCCTTCTTTTTTTTCCCCCTCTTTCCTTCTTTCCTTTCTCTCTTTTTCTTTCTTTCTCTTTTTACTTCTATTTCTTTCTTTCTTTCTCTCTCTTTCCTTCCTTTTTTTTTTTTTTTCTTCTTTCCTTTGAGCATCTAAAATAATACGTGTGCAGGTGGCAAGGATCTTAGGGAGTTCTAGGGAAGGGTTATGGATATAGACATGTATACACAGAAAAGAAGAGAAGCAGTAAGAGAGAGATTCAGAGAGAGCAAGAAACAGAGATGCTGAAGACTGCCCCCCCCCTTTTCTTTGAGAAATGAAAGAGAAGAAAGAATATTTATAGTGGCTTTGGATTATTTGGCTTGGCCCTTTTTCTTCCTTATTCATTTGTTTATTCACTTGACAATTTTTTTTTTTTTTTGAGCATCTAAAATAATACGCCAGGGCTCAGCAGGCGGCATAGTGGTTAAGGTGCTGGGATCCCATATGGCCAACTGCAGTTCAAGCGCTGAACCCAGTGGCTTGAAAATCATGCTGGGCGTGTGTGCGTGTATTCCCAAAATCCCAGGAGGATTATAGAGGAGAAGGGATTGCAGCCTAGCCATCCCCCTTGGGGGGGGATTTGTCCCTTTTCCTCTCCCTGTCTCTCTATTTCTCTTTTAGGCAAGTGCACGTGCCCTATGGCAAAAACCTAAAAACAAAACAAGTTCCAAGCCCTGAGGCATTGGTTGTTGGTGGCAGCGGGGAGAGAGAGTCATCTACAGGAAGCTCTGTTTCCCTGAGATTTGAAGCTAGTGCCAGGGTTCTTAGTCTGCGTCCATAGTTTTGTTTTAGGGATTCTGTGAATCTCAGAAATTATGCAGACATTTTTTTGTGTGTGTGTCTATAACTTCTAATTAGATTTTAAAGGAAGTCTGTGAGTCCAAAAAAGGTCAGTGATTACTGACCCAATGTGAATGGTGAACAAAAAGATTTTTTGGTATTTTATCAGAACTGGGCATGGAAACTTGCCATGTGTGTTAACAAAGCCTCTGAGAGAGAGAGGGGAGAGAGAGAGAGAGAGAGTCCACGCATGCAGATGCTCATGTATCAATTTTTGGAAACAGAGCCCTACAGAATTTCTACTGAACCTGCAGAATAATGAATTAATAGAGGCTCTGTTTCCGAGAAAAAAAGAAAGGCAGGAGAGACTACCATGATTGCTGTGGACAAGTGAAGGAGGAAGAAAAAGTCTTCTTTTACTTTGGTGCTCAAGTTGTGGGTGTGGGAGATTCTCACCCTTGTTCGTTTGATCACTCACACACTCCCTCCCTCATCCATTCAGTTCCTCATTCTTTTTTCCTTTTCCTTTTCCTCTGAAGACATGGGCCAGGGATCAGATCCTGCTTTTGGGTCATGAATCCATCTCTTTCTTTACCAAGTCTCTCGGCCTCCACCCAAGAGGGGTTAGTTTGGCCAGGCCCAGGCAGGGAACGCGGACATGGCTTCTCTGCCAGGCCCAGGCAGGGAATGCAGACATGGCTTCTCTGCTCTCTTCTAGGGAGACAGATGGTGGATTACATCTGCCAGTACCTGAGCACGGTGCGAGAGAGGCGTGTGACTCCAGATGTGCAGCCTGGCTACCTGCGAGCCCAGCTGCCCGACAGTGCTCCTGAGGAACCAGAAAGCTGGGACAACATCTTCGGGGACATTGAGCGGGTCATCATGCCTGGGGTGAGATTCAGTGACTGCAAGGGTGATGTGGATTTCAGGGTGCAGGATGGTGGGTGGTGGCTGAACAAAGGCGACGGCCTGGGATGACAGTGCATCCTTCTGCCACTTGGCTACCAACATCCTAGCTCATTTTCTGGGCATGTGGAGGGCCAGGACTTTAACTGGGCCTATGGTGCCAGGGCTGGCCTGTCATGTTGGGTGGGAAGGGAGGGGAATAATGACTGCATCCCAGGGCATAATCTGGACGAAATGTGGAAATCTAGTTGGATGAGCTGAGAGTGAAAATTGGGTCTGAGGGCATGGGAGAACTGTGGGTAACAGGAGAGAAGACAGGAGGGATGAGGCTGGCCGTGGTCCCTAGGCCCTGATGGTCAATGCAAAGGGAAGGAAGGGAGCAGAGAACCGCACCCCCCCGGGGCACCTGGTGTCAGGTTGGGAGGTCCAGGAACCCCAGTGGGCCCTTCCAGCTCCTTTGTGACCTTCCTTATCTAGGGGAAGGACAGAGCATCCATTAACGATTGAGCAACTTTTCTGGAGCAGAAAGGGACTTTTCCTGAATCTTTGATACTCCTGGTGACAAAAGGGTGCAGCCGAAGACAGTGCTGTGGGGGCCAGGAAACAGATGCGAGCTGTCTGACATGCAGGGTGGAGCTGCCTGCCCTGGCCCCCAGTCCACCGTGATGGGCTGCAGTGACATTCCTGGCCATCAGGGTGAGGGGCAGTGCTGAGGTGCCCGTGCTAAATGGCACTCCCCGCCTGCCAAGGGCTCCCTGCAGGGTCCCAGGTTTTGCACTTAGCAGCATTACAAGCTAGCTTGTTTAATCCTCACGGTGACCCTGCTTTATAGATGAGGAAACCTGAGGAACAGATAAGTTCATTGTCTGCTCAGAGCTGCAGAGTTAGTACCTAACAGGCCCAGGGCTTTAGCCTGGACCAGCTTCACCCCAAAGGCTCTGCTCTGGTTTCTAGTGCTCCCTCTGCTGGTGAGAGACTGAGTGCTCCTCAGTCAGCCCCTGTCCCCAGCACCACCCCTTCAGCTGCACCCCTAATACACAGCCTGTCCCGCTCTCCCTCCCTGGGGCATTTGTGTCCTGAACCTTGCACGTCCAGATCTTCCTGAGATCAACTTGAGATTTGTCTTCATCATCCCCAATGCACTGTGAATTCAGAAGCGACCGAAATATGCCTGGAGGCAGGAGTGAGGAAATACTCAGACTCAGAAAGTCAAACACGCATCTCTCTCTCCCCAGCCAGGCGGCTTATTTCATAAGCTTCTCTGAAAAATTTAGTATCAGTAGAGCTTTACCAAGGAGGCCAGCTCCCCGATTAGATTATCTCCTGGGTTTCATTCTGTAAAATGTGATCTGCTCAGGGCTAACTGTGATCTGAGAGTGAGACCGAAAGTAACCGTCAGAGGAGGCGGCAATGAGCTGATTCATTTGATTGGCAGGAATTCCAGCAGTTGCTGGGGGTTTGGTCAAAAGGGCTCATTTCTGGAAGAAGAGCTCTGTCTGTTTTTGATAAGGCCTCTTCTGGTTTATCTTATCTCATTTATCTTACGAGAACAGACAATTGCCTCTTGATTGAGCCAGGAGATGGCAGCTCTTCTCTGGGGTTTCCAAAATACTGTCACTAAGGACAGCGATAACGGGGGTAATCTTCCATCTCATCTCGCAGGCCTTACCAGCCCTGAGGGCTGGCCTGAAAGCGCTTGGCTCTTCGTGTTCTCCTTTTGTTCAGCACCTCATTGAAAAGTGCATTATATGTTCACTTTCCGCTCTCTCCTAGACACTCAAAGAAGAAAAGCTCTTCTGATTTAATTCCCACCCTGGTTAGAAAAGCCTCATTTACTTTTCATGAGGGAGAGGGAAGCAGTGAAGCAGAAGAAGACAGGGCACCATCCTGCTTAGGCCTTGGGTTCTGGTCTTGACGCTGCTGTCTGTCGCTCTGAGGTGTGTGTGTGTGTGTGACCACAGGGATGCTGCCTCTCTCTGCCAGCCTCGACTCTCCTTCGTCTAACAGGGGTGGTGGTAGAACCTACCTTGTACAGGTGCCGTGAGAATGAAATAAGATAAAGCACGGAAAGTGTAGGATATTGTTATTACCTACCGTGTTGTCCTCTTGGTGAAACTCAGAGGAAGAGGTGTGATTATTTAAGAGTCAAACAGGATGTATGATGTGTCAGGGACCAGCAGGTGGAGTGGTGGTTAAGGTGCTGGACACTCCCACATGGCCAACCACAGTTTGAATCCTGGATCTGGTGACTTGCTTTTTCAGTACCCGCCCCTCTCTGGTCAAATTAAAATAAATGAATGAATAAATTAATTAAATAAATAATTACTTTGAGAAAAAAAAAAAGAGTCAAGACAGGATATATACTGTGTCTCTCACCATGTGATTAGTATTAATGTGAGTACCGGTGCCCACACATATAACCTTGAGACAGGGTTTTTACAGCATGAACTTGAGGTTGAGAAAGGTACAGGAGAGAATTCTAGTTTATTTATTTTATTATTATCATTTTTTTTTATTTTACCAGAGGGTGTCTGCAGTTATTAGAGAGAGACAGAGAGGGAAAGTGAGAAAGCGCCCTGCATCTCTCACCATGGAAGACAGTCATGCTGCAATCCCTTCTCCTCCATTTCTCTCTCCTGTTGGGTTTTCAGGCATGCACATACATGCACCCAATGTGTTTTTCAGGCCATCTGGTCTGTGCAGTCGGCCACATGGGATCCAGCTGCTTTAACCACCACATGACAGGTTAGCCTGAGGATACGGATTTTAAATATCTGAAGTATATACGCATTAGAGACGCCTTTAAAAAAGTTAACAGTGGATCTCAGGAGAGACTTATGCAAACATGGGACCTTGGAGCTTGAGTTTATTAGCTTTGCAGTAAATCTACAAGGTCACACACCTTGTTATAGGTAGAAGTAAGACTGGAACCTTTGTCCTTAAATCTTATGCTGCTTAGACTATGCATGCTGCCTAGGACACAGCACTTACTCCTGAAGGATTATTAGAATTTGTGCACATTAGGTAACAGGAATGGTGGACCAAGATGTTACATAATGAGTTCTCAGGAAGGGAAAACAGCTGGAATACAGTGTTCTATAGGTTCAGGGAAGAGATCAAAGGGGCTGTGGAGTTGGGAAGGATTCGTGGAGGAAATGAATATTTAGTAGCTTTCTAAGAAGGAACAGACTCTGGAGGAGCATGTCTTTATGGGAAGCATCTTCCTGTCAAGGGACACAGCATTGCTCAAAGACATGAATGCAGAGATGAACAGGGCGTGCTTGCAGAGCAGGGAAATGGAGAGAGATTAGATAACCAGGGAGGCAGATGAGCCACTGGGGAAGCCCCCGTTCACCCAGGGCCCTCCCTGTTCACCCAGCTCCTCCCTACATCCGGTTTTGATTGTGAGCTCAGGCTTAGCCTGGAGATGGGCCTCCCATGCCCATGAGTGGTCCCTTCTCCCTACCCTCTCCTCTCCTTGCTTTACCCCCACTGGGAAGCCAAGGGCAACTTTGAGCTTGTTCTCACTGACCCTCTGCAGAAGTTGTGCACACAGAGAACTCAATTCGCCATAACACAAAGGATGCTTTCTGCAAGAAACTGGGTGAGACCAGGATTCTGTTCTTCTGGAGCGTCTAGTCTCCTCTTCCTTTTCTTACTAGGCAGGGGCAACATGGGAGAAAAGCGCTGGAAGCTAATGTGGACACGACCAGGAATCCCAGTTTTATTACTGCAGCAGTTTTCATTTCACATCGTCCCTTCTGGTCTTTGCATTTGTGCCAAGGCTCCACTGGTGAATTAGCTTAGACTAGGAGACTTGAGTTGCAAGAACACATCTTATTTTATGGAATTGTGTCACTTATTTGTCATTCTTGGCCGGCGTCTTCCCTTGCCAAGGAGAGGCTCTGGAGGAGGACGGTCTCCTGGAGTTGCTCTTGGTGCCAACGGTGTGCACGCTTTGCTTCCAGGTGGTCCATTGGCAGAGCCCCCACATGCACGCCTACTACCCAGCCCTCACCTCTTGGCCATCCCTGCTAGGAGACATGCTGGCCGATGCCATCAACTGTTTGGGATTCACTTGGGTGAGTAGCAACGGCTGTGACAAGTAGCGATGAGAGGTGTCATTTCTTGAAGCTTTAGCTTTATATAAATGATCTTATTTAATCTTCTAACCCTATAGAATCACAAGTAGTGGCCTCGTTTGTAGGCAAGGAAATGGAGGCTTAAGTCATTTATCTCCCCAAGACCACACAGCACATAGACATAGATGAGATTTGGACTAAGATCTGGGTATTGCCACAGTTTGTGACCCGAACTAAGCACTTTGATGCCGGTTGAGTCACAACTTCCCCTGTGCTCTTGTCTTTGAGACGTGCCGTAAGACTTTCCTTACTAACCCCCAAAGCACCACTCAGCTTTCCATTGCACCAAAAGCCTCCCAGCACATCTTTCTATTTTAAGCCTGAATTCTCATTGGGGGTTCATGTAGAAATGCATGAAAGGGAGGCGTGTGTGTGTGTGGGGGGAGGGGGCGGGGGTTGTTACTAACTTTTCCAGGAAGAGTTCCTTATTTTCTAGTCCTAAAACTTCCTCTGGGCTTTCGGGTGCTTCTCAGCTGGGTATGTTAGGAACTTGAGGAAACAAATCCAAGACAATCATTTTTAAGTCTGTTTGTCTGGAGAGCTTGGAAGAATCTGGCTCATTGAGGACTGCACGAATCCAGAGTTCCACATTCTTTTCCCTTTTTGGTTTGGCAGAGGGTGGGGTGGAGTGGGCCACAGGGCCAGGCATTGACTGCTCCAGGGAGGATCTCACAGAAGCTGTCAGGGCCTAGTGAGGGCAGGCCAGAGGCAGATATGTTTCTGGGGTCAGTGAGGGTATCTCAGTGCCCTGGGGCTATGCAGGTAAAATTCCTTTCCCTCTTTCAGGCCTCTAGCCCTGCATGCACAGAGCTGGAGATGAACGTCATGGACTGGCTGGCGAAAATGCTGGGACTCCCAGAGCACTTCCTGCACCACCACCCCAGCAGCCAAGGGGGTGGCGTCTTACAGGTGGCTCCACTGGCAAAGCTTGACCTAGCATGGGGGCTAAGTATTGAAAGAGAAGCGAACCCTTACCCAGGAATTCTGTTCTCCACGGAGCTTCCCCGTGTCACCCACAGCCATCACTGGCCCCACCATAGTCATTACCATCACCGCCACCTCGAGTGACACCACCACCACTGGTACCAACCACCATTGTCGCGGCTTCTATCTCTCACATGGCCACTACACTCTCCTCAACCTTTGCTTCATGTACACACTGCTACCAGTTTTATCACTCTCACTTGTCCCATTATTTGAAAAAGATGAAAAAGTTAATGCATTATCGCATTTCTCATTTTACAGTTTGTGATAAGAGAGGAAAAGAGAAGGCAGGAGGGGACTCTTCTCCCTCCCTTCTAGTGCAGAAGGGCCTTGCAGTGAGTGAAATTGATAAGTTAAAACAATCTTATCCTCTGTCTCTATTTTTTTTGTAATTGCCAGAGGACATATGTGCTTGCCAGAGTTAAAGAGGGAAAAGACAGAAAGAGAGAAAGCACCCTCTCTCCCCCAAGAAGGTATAGTCATGCCACAATCTCTTCTCCATTTCTTCATCCCGTCAGGATTTTGGACAAGCACTCACATGTGCCTGGAGCGCTTTTCCGTCTGCTGGGGCCAAGATTCAAACTGCAGCAGGCACAGCACTTAACTAAGCACTGCGCAATGGGGGCTGTCTCTGATCCCATCTTAGGACATCCATCCAAGGGTGGCTCTTTGAATGTTCCTTCTCTTTCAAGGAATAATGCTGAAGAGGAGTGCTTTCTGGGTGCCTCTCATATGGCATGCACAGACGCTTTTACATCTAAAAACCCTTGACATTCATGAGGGCTTGGTTCTAAGACCTTTGAGAAGTCCCCGTGGTTTTTTGTTTGCTTCTTTGTTTTTTAGTTTCTTTCCTTCTCCCACAAGTGAGAGAAACACATGGGGAAAGAGACAGAGAGAGGCGGAGACACAAGTGCTACCTTTAACAGACTCTTGCTGTCGTGATTCACCCCCAGCTTCAGCTTGCCCTGGATTGTGGGCACGCGTGTGCCTACTGCACTCAGGGAGGTCTTCAGCCATGAACCTCGAACCTTCCCGTGTGGGTCAGCTTACAGAATATTGTTATTACACAACTGTCCCACCAGGATCCCCAAGTCCTTGAATTCTACTAAAATATGTAATTTTTGTGATTTTATAATCTATAAAATAGAGATAATGATGATAATGTTTCTTTCGAAGAATAGATGAAGATGAAATGAATTCTAATATTAAATAAAAATAACCACGCTGCTCTGAGGTGAGAACTGGGATGCTTGCTCGGCCCGTTTGCTAGCCAGTCATTCCTCCTCTCATGCCAGCCTTGCCTTGCAGCAAGATTAAAATCTGAATCTCAAGAAAGACAAACTACAGACTTCATGTACCTCTGTGTAAGCGAATAGCTACAGCTTCAGCTGCGGTAGCTAGAAGACGCACTAGGTGTCTCCCGTACACGATCTCCGGTTTCATCTAATTCTCTCAGAAACACTGTGGATAAATAGTATCATCCTCGATTTTTTAAAAAATTATTTTATTGAGACCAGCAGGTGGCGTGGTGGTTAAGGACACGGGACTCCCACATGGTCAACCATGGTTTGAGTCCCGGACCTAGAGGCTTACTTTCTTGCTTTTTCTCTGTCTCTCTATCTCTCTCACTCTCTCTGTCTCTCACTCTGTCCCTTCCTGGTCAAATTAAAATAAATAAAAATGAATAAATAACGTCAAATAAAATAATTCTTTTAAAAAAAGAAATTTATTTAACGTTATTTATTTGTTCATCTATTTCAATTTAACCAGAGAGGGGCAGAGAGAGAGAAAGAAAGAGAGAATGCCAGCTTCCAGGTCTGGGACTTGAACTGTGGCAAGCCACGTGGGAGTCCAGTGCCCTTATCCATCATGCCAAGGATGCTGCCCTTCATCCTTGATTTTTTTTTTGAGAGAGGTTTTTTGCTATAGGGCGCGTGCGCTCGCCAGACAGACAGAGAGAGAGACAGAGAGACAGAAAGTGAGAAATCACCCCAGGGGGATGGCCATGCCGCAATCCCTTCTCCGTTCTCCTCTCAGGATCTTGGGCACACACGCACACGTGCCCGGCGTGAGTTTTAAGCCACTGGGTCCAGACGCGAACCACGGTCGACTACGTGGGAGTCCAGCAACATAGTCATTACGCTAACTGCTGGTCCCTCGTCCTTGATTTTTGAGAGAACACTGAAGCTCAGAGAGATGAAATAACTCACTCTAGGTCACACAGCTGGTAAGAGAAAGAATTGAGGCGTCGAACCTAGCCTGTTCAAATTCTAACCATGCTCTCTCCTACATTCATCAGCCGTGTGAACCAGAGTGAGTCCCATAGCTTCTCTGAGCATCGCTCTCTTCATCTGTGGGATAATGGAATTCTATCTCAGAGAGATGTTGTGAGGAGCGAGTGGGATGAGAGGAACTGTGTTTTGTGAACTATAAATTGTGATACTGATGGAAGGTGGTATTATTATTATGATGATGGCTTCCTTGCTATGGAGAAATTTCCAGCCACTGGATATTTTATGGGATCTGGTACACACCACTCTCTAAGCAGACAGCTAGCCCCTTTTTCTTTTTTTTTAATGTAAGAGGGAGAAAGAGAATGCATGCAAAGGGGGAGAGAGAGAGAGCGAGAGAGAGAGAGAGAGAGATTTTTTAAAAAGAATGATTTTATTTAACTTTATTTATTTATTTAAATTTGGCCAGAGAGGGACAGAGTGAGAGAGACAGACAGGGAAAGTGAGAAAGCAAGCTGCCTGGTCTGGGACTTGAACCGTGCTTGAGTCCAGCACCCTTAAACACCATGCCACCTGCTGGCCCTGAGTTAGGTATTTTTGACAATCTAAGCATGCTACAATCCTCCCTGCACCAGCCCCCTAGCTAGCTGGGACTAAGGGTGTGCAACTACTGTACCTGGCCTGTGGAGGTTGGGCCAGGAGCTAGACTTGGGCCTCCTGTGTGGCCTCAGCCATTGTGTAGTGGTGCCCTCCCACTCGTGCCATCACATCTGCCAGGCTTTTCAGGGTTCTGTCAGCTGTAGGCCACCTGTGGACATCAACAAGCAAAGACATCAAAGACCGAGTGAATAAACGAGGAGAAATCATAAAGGCTCTCATGAAGTTGCCAACCTAGCCCCCAGATTCCCACAGTGATAGCCAGAGTAAAATCCTACCCAACTTTTCTTGGGATGATTTATACCAAAAAATAGTTAACAGGATGCTCTCTGTTTAATTAATTAATTTATTTTCCGTAGGGCCCATTCACTCGCTGGAGAAAGAGAGAGAGAGTGAGAAATTGCACCTCCCGCCCCAGGGGGCTGGCCACACTGCAATCCCTTCTCCTTCATTCTCCTCTTAAAATTTTAGGCACACAGGGACCAGTGGATAGTGTAATGATTATGTCGCTGGACTCCCACATAGTTGACTACATTTTGAGTTCTAGACCCAGTGGCTTAAAACTCATGCTGGGCGCATGTGCGTACATGCGTGCCCAAAATTCTGAGAGAATGGAGAAGGGATTGCAGTGTGGCCAGCTCCCCTGAAGAATGAATGATTTCTTGGGACCAGCAGTTAGTGAAATGGCTATGTCGCTGGACTCCCACGTAGTCGACCACAGTTTGTGTCCCAGCCGGGTGGCTTAAAACTCACACCGGGCACGTCCTGAGAGGAGAATGGAGGAGAAGGGATTGAGGCGTGGCCATCCCCCCTGGGGGGTGATTTCTCCCTTTCTGTCTCTCTGCCTCTTTCTGTCTGTCTGGCGAGCCCATGTGCCCTATAGCAAAAACCTCTCCAAAAAAAAAATTGATTTTAGGCACACATGCACACGTGCTTGGTGTGCTTTTCAAGCTACTGTATAGTTGAACATGTGAGACCCGGCATCTTAACCTCCATGCCACCTGCTGGCCCTCTGTTTTAACTTTTATTTATTTTACTTAAAAAAATATTTTGCCAGAGGGCATATGTGTGTGTGTGTGGGGGGGGAGGGGAGCATCACTATGGGGCATGGCCACACCACAATCCTTTCTCTGTTTCTCCATCCTGCCAGGGGTTTTAGGGCATCTATATTCACATGTGCAGCATGTTTTTTAAGCTGCTGGGATTGAGATTTGGACTGACTTCAGTTGGCCCTGTGAGATCTGACTCCCTTAAGCACCAGGCCATCGGACTGGCCCAAGATTATCTCTAGAAAGAGAGTCCTCAGGAAGGGCAAGATTAGTCCAAGGTCACAAGAGTAATTGACAACAAAATGGACCAAAGCCACTAGCCTCTCACATGGGCCAGGACCCTTTACCTCTGCGATATCCCTGTGGGATCAAACTCCATCTCCACACCTAATAAATTGAGAGTTCTTTCCAATTCATTTTCCATGGGGAACAAATTTACGTCCATGAGGACTGGAACATTATTTTTGGTTTGTGTGGCCTCTCTAATAGAGCTGTTGGTACTAGGGGCAAACTTGCTTTCAGAATGCAGGCTAGGTACACGAGCTGGGGAAGAAAGAAAGCGCCTAGGCATGAGCTCTGTAGTCCTTCACAGAGCTCTCTCTCTCACACACAGACACACATACAGACACAGACATACACACACACGCACACACACACACACACACACGCACATATACATAAAATACAAAACAAAACCTGGGGAGGTTTGTCAAGAGAACACAGGAAAGTCACCATTGGTAATCCTTCCCTCGCAGAGCACGGTCAGCGAATCCACCTTGATTGCCCTTTTGGCAGCAAGGAAGAACAAAATCCTGGAAATGAAAACAACCGAGCCCAATTCAGACGAGTCCTCCCTGAACGCCCGGCTCATTGCCTATGCCTCTGACCAGGTGAGTGGGCCGACACAGGACGGACCTAAGTTGGTGCTTGGCTTCCCTGGTCTTAGTCCTTGAATAATATTCCTTTTTATGTGAATGTGCTGGGGTGCAGGGTAGCTCTAGATGGGAGCTGGTCTTCAGGACCACAGGAGAAGACAGCTTCGAACATGTGTATCTGAGTCCCATGTGCCTGTGCTCCCGTCCTTTCTGGGGACTGTTCGTTCCAGGATGATTCTTTTTTTTTATTAATCTATTTATTTATAGTCATTCACTGTACATCAATACAGTAGACAAAATGAGATTTTTCCACCTAGTATACATTGTATATTGGCTCAATCATGATAAACATACATGTTATCAACAAATAATTTTCTATTTTTTGTTTCTTATGTATTTTGCTTTTTTCTCTACCCTCTTGATTCCCTACCTTTCACCCTCTGCCAATTCCTCCCCTTCTCCCACATTGTCTCTGGTATGTACAGTTGTTTTCCATGCATTTTTTTCCACATTTTATTGATTCACTAACGATATTAATTAATTCAAAAACTTTTAATAGCAAGCACAGCTGATCTATACCTACGTATGAGTACATGTCTGACTTTAGACATAAACCTCAGTTGAATAAAGTGAACATACTATAAAGTGGCACCTTGTTGGGGCTATATTGCTTACTGCAGTCATTAAGTAGGTACTAATAGTTTTTTTTTGAGAGATTTTCGCTATAGGGCGCATGCGCTCGCCAGATAGACAGAGAGAGACATAGAGACAGAAAGCGAGAAATCACCCCCCAGGGGGGATGGTCACGCCGCAATCCCTTTTCCTCCATTCTCCTCTCAGGATCTTGGGCGCACACGTACATGCGCCCAGCGTGAGTTTTAAGCCACCGGGTCCGAGATGCGAACCGCAGTCGACTACGTGGGAGTCCAGTGACATAGCCATTACGCTAACTGCTGGTTCCCCTAATAGGTATTTTTTAATGCATTTTTTAATTTCAAAAAAAGGTTTTAGTTTTAATAGATCAAGATAAAAAACTGTTAAGAGAAATTTGCTTAAAACTTCAAGTCAGGAGAAAGGTCAGGATTCAGTTCAAATAGTAGGTAGATGGACCTATCAACAGTTCAAGAGAAGACAAAAATCCTTAAATACGGAAATCAAAGCATCGAAGAAAATCAGTAATGTTTTAGTCTAGACTAAAAAATTTCTATTTCACTAGTTCGGACTCACGTAATTAATCTCTCTTCTAATAAATTTGCAGTGTTACTGTGATCTTTCCATTTAAACTATGAAAGTTAACATTGAACGCCAGACTTCTCCCTACCATTAGGCTGGCCATTGTCTTGGTTGTTTCTTGTACACTTATTTTTGTGTTTCCAAATTTAGTTTTCCTGGGATAGCACTCCCTTAAACACTTCTTGGAGAGCTGGTCTGGTGTTGGTAAATTCTTTCAGGTTTTGCTTATCTGAGAATATTTTTGTCTTTTATTCCCCCGTATGAAAGATAATCTTGCTGGGTATAGTATTTTTGGTTGAAATTGTTTTTCACTTAACACTTTAAATATATTTTCCTATTCTTTCCTTGCTTGCATTGTTTCTGATGAGATGTCTGATGTTAGCCTTATGGGATATCCTCTGAAATTAACTTGACATTTCTCTCTTGTCAATTTTAGTATCCTATCTCTGTGGCTTTTGTCAGTCTGTCTATGATGTGCTTTGGGGAAGATCTTCCTGGGTTGATTCTATGTGGAGTCCTTTGTATTTCTTGAGTCTGGATATTTGAATGCCTCTCTAGGTTTGGAAAGTTTTCTTCCAGGATTTCATGGAATAGACTATCAATGCCCTTACTAGTTTCTTCACTTTCTAAAATACCGATGATCTGGATATTTGGGCATTTAGTGGTATCTAGTATTACTTGTATGTTATTCTCATTTTTTGGGTTAGTTTCTCAGTCTTTTTGGTGAATTTTTCTAGGTCAAAGGTTCTATCTTCTACATCTGAGATTTAATCTTCTGCATGATCTAATCCGCTTTTGATATTTTCAATGGAAGTTTTGATTTCCTGTATTATATAGCCTTTATCTCTAACAGTTTCGTTTGATTCTTTTTTATGATGTGTATCTTTTCTTTCAGCTCATGCAAGAACTTCCTCACCTCCTGGAACCCGGTGTCTCTTTTCTCCTACATCTTCTGGAATTTGTTGTTTCTATTCTCTTGTATCTCTGTTAGCTTTGTCACTATGAATATTTAAAATTCTTTATTTGAAATTTCCATGAGTTCCCTTGGATTCTTTGTGGGGGAAGAGGAGTTATTCTTTTCCATTAGAGGAGAGATATTGTCCTGGTTTCTCATATTTCTTGTGCCTCTGTGGTGGTTTGTGGTCATCTGATGGGTTATACATTTTTCCCCTATGTTTTGGAGTTAAATCTGAGCATTTAGAGGAACGCAGAAGGAGGTGACCTGCAGACTGACTCCTGCGGCACAAGAGGGCGCAGTCTGGGCAGAGAGTCTTCGGTGGTCGAAATCCCTGAATGGGGTCGCTCAGAACTCAAATATAGATGGCTGCTTATTGGCTTATCCTGACTCCTGGCTAGACTGGGGAGCAGGAGGGTAAAGTCTGGGCCCCTAGGATGATTCTTTGCTGACAGGTTTCCATGGCCCTTCTAGGCTCACTCCTCAGTGGAGAAGGCTGGTTTGATTTCTCTCGTGAAGATGAAATTTCTGCCTGTGGATGACAACTTCTCACTCCGAGGAGAAACTCTTCAGAAGGCCATCGAGGAAGATAGGCAGCGGGGCTTGGTGCCTGTCTTTGTAAGTCAGAATGTGTCCCTAAGCTTGGACTGACAGAATTTGGATGTGAGGAAGGGATCTGGGGAGAATTCAGGGATATAATATGCTGTGAACAAAACCAAGAAGGTCTTAGATACAGTGATTTACAAGTTATGAGTTGCTACTCAATGGTGTGTTATAAAATACATTTTATGGGCTATAACCAGCCTTAAAACAACAAAAAAAGAAGATATCAGAATGCATTCATATAGCCAGAGTGTGCATTGTGTTGTGAAACCCTGATTTCAAATACAAACATGTATGTATAGGTTGCTAGATAAGATGTGTTTCTTACTGTGGTTCGTGGTAACATACAGGGTGAAATACACACTGTTCTAGTGACATGGGTTGAGCATATTCATGTCTGTGGTGAGATGGCTTTCACTGAATATGTCATATGAGCCTGCCCTCCCTGATCACTTGCCTTTTATTCTTCTCCAGGTCTGTGCAACACTAGGGACTACTGGGGTCTGTGCGTTTGACTGCCTCTCAGAGCTGGGCCCCATCTGTAAGTATCTGCCCTGTCTGGCTAGGAAGACAAGGAATACATTTTAAAATGTTTCCTAGACCAAGAACCTGAGCCAGCCTGTGGAATTATTCTCGTCCCTCTTTGGTCAAAGCGGAGACATGGAAAGAGCCACCAAAGGTCACAAGGGCCTTTCCCAGGCATCCCAATGGTGTGAGAGGGTCAGAGCTGCATCCTGTCCTGGGAGGCCTCAGTGGGGGAGCCTTTGCTTTTCTCATCCTCTCATTTGTATGTCAAAATCCTCTTAGAGAAAGGCTACTTCCACACAGGGTGAAGAGCACTGCGAAGCATTTCCTATTCTAGCTGCAGAAAAGGAAAAGGGTAAGGAAGAAATCATGGGAGAGATAAAGGCAGAGTAGCAACCCAGATGGGATCATGTAATCTCCAAGTAAAAGTCCCACTGGGAAAGAGACATCTCTCTACTTTTGTATTAGATGCCCTAACACTGTTCTCTGGGCTGGTGGGAAGTCAGTTTCTATGCCAGGATATTAGAGGTTGAGGCCAATAGGGTGTTGGCCTCCTGCCCAGTGAGAGAGACAGGCCAGGGTAAGACTTTGTTATCCTTCCTGTCAGGAGATGGCGGTGCCTCATTTAGTCTCACTTCCTCACTCTGACACCCCCTCTTCCCATCTCTATCCACCCTCATTTAGCAAAACACATCCTCCTTTCCCAGCAGTTCTCTTTGCAGCCCACAGCCCACCATCTAGCTTGGCAGGTGACAGATGCCTTTCAGCTGGCTGATGGCATCTCCTCCACATCATGCCTCCCCTCCAGCCAGTTGACATTTCCTCCTCAGGTGCCAGCGAGGGGCTGTGGCTCCACATCGATGCTGCTTATGCAGGAACTGCCTTCTTGTGCCCTGAGTTCCGGGGGTTTCTGAAGGGCATCGAGTATGCCGACTCCTTCACCTTTAATCCTTCCAAGTGGATGATGGTGCACTTTGACTGTACTGGGTTCTGGTGAGTGTGGCAGCCAAGCTTTGAGCACATGGCCTCCCTGGAGATGCCTCAGCCACTAATGCCCATTTGGAAACCCACAGGGTCAAGGACAAGTACAAGCTGCAGCAGACCTTCAGTGTGAACCCTGTCTACCTCAGGCATGCCAACTCGGGCGTAGCCACCGACTTCATGGTGAGTGGGCTGGAAGGGGCAGCCTGGTGGCCTCTGGTGGAAAATGGCTGCTCTGGCCCCCTAGAGGTCTCCTGTAATGTCAGCTTTTTTTAGAATACAAAGTGCTCATCCTATAATACTGCCACCTTATACTTTGTCTTAAAGTTGTGCTTCGATATAGAAAATGACACCCAGGAAGATACCAAAAATCTGAGAAAATTGGACTAACTCTTGAGACACTATGCACATTTCCTGAATATTTGTAGTGTGTTTTTATTCCCAAGTGTTCCTTGCCACAGGTGGGCCAATTCCCTTCTGTCTCCATTTTGGATCATTTTTTCTGCTTATTACTCAGCTGCGGGATGGATGGAGAATTTCCTTGGATAGAAAAGAGGTTCCTTGTTTAAATCACTTGCGTCTTGTCCCTGACAGAGGCACTATGGGAAGTTCTGAGGGAGTGATGGGACATGGGTATCCTTTGGGAGGTTCTGGATACTGCCAAGCCTTCCTGGCTTTCCCAACTAGCTCCACTTCAGCTCTCAAATGTCCACACGCTCTGTCTGTACCAGGTCCAGGGAAACATGTTCTTCAGAGTTACTGCTTAGTTTGAAGAGAAGCCCTTCCTTTAAATGTAGGGGCGACAGGGATGAAAATAATACGTTATGTATAATATGGTCCATGAGAAACTGCAAAGGACAGTAGGACACACTCAGTTTTGAATTCTGTGCCCGCAGCAGCCCTTTGGGAAGCTGACTGGACCTTCCTGAGTCTTGGCTTCCTTCTCAGTAAACGGGAATAGAGGGACTGATGTCATGGGGTACTGCGAAGCTTAGATGGAATCACGCATGTACGAGATCACTTAGCGCAATACCTCCGTGGCCAATGCTCAATACGCGGTGACTGTAACATTCCTAAAAGCTCTTCCTTTAATCTCAGAGAGTCAAGAGCACAGTAGTGGACTATGTAGGTGCCAAAGCTGGATGACCTGTGCCGGCTCCCTCATTTATAACATGTGCGCTTGGGCAAATGACTTAACTCTGTGTCTAGGTGTCCTCATCTGCCAAATGAAGATGATAGCAGCCTGGCTTCTTGGCCTTGCTGCAGAGAGTAGATGAATTAATACAGTGAATCCCTGGGAGCGATGCCTGACACCTCTGTGAGTCATCTTTGTGAAGAGGTGGTTTTGTCTGAGCTCCTTGAATAACCAACGTGTCCTGCCTTTCAGTCCTAAAGTCACAACTCCATCATGGCTTGTTTGTATTGGTTATTTGCCTTTGGACCAGCTCACATTTCCTTCAGTTTTGGAAGCCTTTTGACTGGCAGTAAGCTCTCAGTGGTGGTGATAACCCTCTAGCGGTAAACAAAGATAGAAGAGCTAAGGGTGCTTTCATCTCTATTCTTAAAAAAAAATTATTTTGCTTTGTTTTTGGTGCATGCACTAGCTGGGAGGAGAGGAGAGAGGAAGAAAGTGAAAAAACGTCTTCTGGGGGGATGGCCACACTGCAATCCCTTCTGCTCCATTTTTTTTCTCAGGATTTTGGGCACCCATGCACACATACCTGGTGTGTTTTTCAAGCTGCAGAGTTTGAGACTTGAACGGAGCAGTTGGCCATGTGGGATCCAGCTACCTTAACCCCTATGCCATTGGCTAGCCCAATCTCTTATTTTTTTCTGGTAGGTTTTCAGGTTTTTTTTTTTTTTTTTTTTTTAAATTTTTAGAGGGACAAGGCACCCACCCAGGAAAATATATCATGTGTGAGACAGAGAGACAGAGAGAGAGAGAGAGAGAGAGAGAGAGAGAGAGAGAGAGAGAGGAGGAGAAGGAGAAGGAGAAGGAGAAGGAGAAGGAGAAAGCACCCTCCAACGGGGCATGGTCATGCCATAATCTCTTCTCCTCCATCTCTCCATCCTGTCAGAATTTAGGGCATGTATACACACATGCCCAGTGTGTTTTTCAAGCTGCTGGGGCCAGGATTCGGTTGGCCAAGTGGGATGTGATTCTCTTAACTACTAGCCAACCCTAGAACATTGTTAATTAAATAAAAAACAATCCGGTTGGCTCTGTGGCCTGGTGGTTAAGGAAACTGGATCTCCCATAGCTGATCATGCTGTTCGAATCCCATATCTGGCAGCTTTAAAACATGTGGGCGTATGTGTGCATGCATGGCCGAAGTACTGGAGGGAAAAAGGGTTGGAGGATAAGATATTGTGGCATGGCCATGACCAAAAGTAAAAACAAAATAAAATTCCGTGGTAGCCCATCTCGTTGTCCCTGACAAGGGGCACTGTGGGAAGTTTTGATAGTGATGGGACATCACAGATGGCAGTATCTTTAGGGATAACTCCAGGTGTCTTTTCTGAGTGCGAAATGAAGCCCATTCTCCTATAAGTGTATTTGGATCACCATACCTTAAGAGTATTATCTTTACCCTTGCCCATTTTAAATTTTATGTAACTTTTTTGTTCATTTACCACAGTGTCTCGAGATTTGCTGAGATTCATGGTTTATTCCCATCAGGTGGGAGATTTTGCAGTACTCTCTCTCTTCCAGAGAACTTATAAAAATATTAAATTATGGGACCAGCAGATGGCATAATGGTTACTTCTCTGGATTCCCATGTAGTTGACTGTGATTTGAGTACCGGACCTGTTGGCTTAAAACTCATGCAGGGTGCTTATGCGTGCATGTCCAAAATCCTGAGAGGAGAATGGAGGAGAAGGGATTGTGGTGTGGCTAAAACCCCCCCCCGGCGGGGGGGGGGTTTTTTCTTTCTTC